CCCTCACTACAACTCTGTGATATTTGCAATTGAATTAACAAGAAACAGGGCCCTCTGGGAAGGCTGCAAATGAGAACTGAGGCTGGAACCCAAAGGCCATGACCAATGTGTGCCATCCCAAACACAGCTGCTCATGGGTCACCTTGACCCTGCTAGTGAGGGACTAGCAGCTCAGCAGGGGAGCAGAGCTCATCCCTCCTCTCAGAACCTGCGGTCCCAGTAAAACACAGACACTGCATCTCTGGTTTTCTGCTTTGCAGAAGTGTTGATGGCTGAGCCACACTGGCTCAGCTCTGCTGTTCCCCTCCCTTCTCTCTCATGCCCTCAACTCAGCTGTGGGCAAGAAGGACCAGCTCAGAGGTGAGGAGGCTCAGTCCACTGCCTTTGCTGCCAGATACAAGGGCACAGTCACTGCAAGCCAGCTGACACCTACAAGTGTCAAGGCAGCTTCTCTGGCTGTAGCTTGTTTTGTGCACCTGAAATGAGTTGGAGAAAAAGTCTGCCAGACTGCCCTCCTGCTTAGCACAGCCCGGAATTAATGAATCTGAGCTCGTACAAGAGTCTGCAGCACCAAAGATCTTTTCTTCCTTCATTGCATGCAGAACCATATACACAGAATTACTCCTTCTGCACAGTTCCATTTGGTCGATACTTAAGCTATACACCCAGGCTGATTTACCTTGATAGCACAGTCCATTTTCTACACATTTATTCATGAAGCTCTTGTAACTGCTGGCTGGAAATACATCAAATTCAAATCTAATGCTATCCCTGTTAAAAAGCCTCAACACCATAACCTACAAAAATCCTCCTCTTCCCAAAGATGTGCATTTTATTCTGCTCTGAACAGTAAGCAAAGACTTAAATGCTTAAAAGAAAGGGAATGATTTAATTTAACACAAACCCCCAAAGTTTATGTTAATGTTAACATGGGGAAATCAGTCCTGCGAAGGGATCCATGACAGCAGAGTCCTGTCATGAGTCACTCAAGCCTCAGGCTGTGCTCCAGTGGAAGACCCAGGAGCTCTGGATGAAGGCCAGGACACTAATACTTCCAAGACTGAGAGTCTGCTCTGAGCCAGGGCTGTGGGAGGACACAAAGAGCATTGGTCCCCATCCTGCAGGGGCAGCAGGACAGTGTAGTGTGGAAACTGGGCACAAGGCCAACCATTAAAAAAGCAAATAAGTAAGCACTCTGCTGCAAAACTGAACCCAAGTATCTCAAGCTGCAAACTGGAACTGTTTGCTTCTCTTTGTGTGGATCTCCTCCACCCACACAGTGTCAGGGGGTGGCTGAAGACTCCAAGCAGGAGGGTTCACTCTGCCACCTTCCTACACATTATCTGCAGATCATTTCTGTAAATATCTTGTCTAGGCTGCAGGATCCATGACAGAGTCTCTGTGTCAAGCTTTGCTGAGATGTTGGCTCTCAGCATAGGATTCACCCTTTTCAGAAAGTTTAAGACTTTAATAAAACCTTAGGCATCAGTTCAGCCCATAAACAAGTCTTTGTAAAAGTCCTGAAAAGAAATCTTTCCTGCTCTCCAGCACTACCATAGAGTTTTTTCCCTTCTGTCCCCATCTCCTTGAATTAAACAACCTGCACTTTAAAATCTTTTGTTGGATGGCATGTCCTGCTCTCCTGCTGGGGAGCACCATTTTGATTTCAGGCTCATTTGGGAAAGTCTGCTCTCAGATCCATGTGCTGTGGTTAAGCTCTCCCAGCATGGCTGGTTTTCTTTCCCACTGGCTGCTGGGCAGAACGTGTGTTTTGCTGCCACATCCTTCATCCACAAATGCAAAACAGTCTAAGGGCTGCCCAGGGGGTTCCCCTTCCCTATAATCTCTCTCATACATATGCACGGATTATCAGCATCAGAAGAGCTGGAGACATAAAGACCAAAAACAGTCTCCAGAAATAAATTAATGTGCTGGAAGAAATTACTGCCTCCAGGAGCTAGGGATCTGCAAATGTGACACTATTCAGAAACACCACCACCACTATCCTAACAAGAGTAAACAAGCAAAATAACAACAGTGGTGAGTCACGTTAGCCATAATGTTACAGCCCATATAGGGCTGGATGCTGCACTTACTGTTCACTTGGAGTTTCTGCCAAAGTCTATGGGTTTACATGGGATTATATTCATCGCACAAGTACATCTGTGTGGTATTCTGCCCTGAATCCACAGAGAAAACTCCAGCTGAAGGTTGAAATCCCAGTTACCTCTGTGTAATACTACTACTGTGCTTCAGCATTCTCTGCAACACCCAACTGCCCATGTGCACTGCAATACACAGGTGCTGTTCTTGCCATCCAGCCACACCTCCAGTCTCTATGTCCTATCTGTGATCTTGTCTCAGTTTCCATCTCCCCACTGCTGACTGGGGAAGATGCCCGTCAGCACCTTTTGCTGCCTTTCTGCTCTATGGAAGTGAAAGACTGAAAACAACATTGGTAAAGTTAAAGCTGGGAAGGTCACTGATGGGTACAGTTTCAGTAGGAGAATGTACTGGAGGTCAGTCAGAATTTGGCAGGGAGCTTTCAGAAGCCCTTGTCTAGAATTTGTAAACAAAGGCCAAAACTTGAAATCCTGCTGATATCTGCAGACAATTTATAATGAGCTGAAGATGGAGCAGTGTGATTTCTAACTTCTTAGTCTTCCTCTGCAAGCTCAGATAGCAGAGTTATTCAAGGAGGAGGCAGGAAAAAACCTGTCCTTGTGACCTCCAGAAAGAGATGGCTGACCCCACTCAGCTGCAGCTTCCTGAGGCAAGAGTTAAATTCACTGTCATTGCCCAAAGACCAAGAGGGATCCTAAGTTCAATGCAGCTCAAGGATCCCTCAGATATTTATAATTATCCAGGACTTCAGCCATCTTGAAGATACTCTTTTTCCTCTAGTGCTGAAGTATCCTGTGGCATCAGAAGCTCTAGGATAGGTGGCTGCACCTGAAAGGAATGTGAAGAACATTTTATAGGGAGAGGCAAGGCCCACAAAGACATAACCTGCAAGGACAGTCCTGGGATAGCAGCGTCTTCAAACATGAAGGCTTTCTCTCTGTGGCTGAGGAAGAAAGTCATCTGTTTATATTAACTTTGAAGGATGTGAGTATCCTTCCTTAGCACTAGCCTTTTTTTGGGACTTCTTGCAGAGTGTCAGACTGGCATACCATCAGGTTGATTGGGAATTCTCCATTCGTGGTAAAATATGGAGAGAAACCAACTGTGGGATTTCTGTTCTCTTGTCTGAAACAAGAAGCTCTATTACTCCGGTCAGGAACTCCCAACCTCAGCAATATTCCTCTCCTCATTTTGAAATGTGTGAGCTGTGCCTCTTAAGTACACTGGGTTACACATACATTAACTGGAAAGGCACCAAAATAAATGAGGTGGAAGCAGTCCTTGTCAATAAATGGATAAAGTGCCAATATGAGAAAAATGGATTGCTGAAAAGTTCAGAACATTTTGCCATACCAGGGGCTCTGATCTGCTCTCTCATAACTTGGAGACCCAGCACTGCTGAGATGTTGTCTTTTGCATGTTCATGGTCTGGCTCTTCAAATGATGTTGAAAAGACAAATTTCAGGCCAAACTGCACTGGCCATCAGCCAGGGATCAGACGAGCCCTCTCTGGCAACACTTTCCTATATTTCTTACCCAAATGGGCAGCTTAAGCATAAGCCTTGCAAAGCTACAATTCAAAATAAGAGCCAATGGGAGGAGATCCAAGGCTGATTTTTTTTGCCCCATCCTGTAGCTATCAGAAGCAGGAACGCTCTGAGTGCTCTCAATATGACTTGAGTGGACAGTGTTCAGCAGACAGGCCCTGCTGTGTGTGATACACCATCCCAGGAAACCATGCCCCTGTTGTGGGGACTGAAGTCATGGGGCCATGACAGAAGCTCCTTGATGAAGTCCTGGCTGCAGCCAGACACTAATATGGCTTGGTGGGAGAGATCCAGAGGTGTCCTGAGCAGGGAAGTCCCAGATGAAACTTCCAGCCATGCCACCCCAAGACAGCACAGAAGCCACCTCAGTGTCAGCACTAAGTGGCTGGGCCTCATGCACCTAGACAAGGAGACAGAAAGGAAAAGGCAACGCAGGACTGAGGAAGAAGAGGTGCCCCCAATGTCTGCCTGCTTCAGGAGCTTCTAGTTATTACAGACATACATATTCTGCCATTAAAGGGAAGTGAAGAAGCAAAGTGCAGCCAGAGGGCAGCAACCCTGGCAGAGATCCCATTAGAGACAGATGAGAGGAAATAAGAAGGATGTAAAAGCATCTCCTGTCTGGCATCCTATCCTATACTGGCCATAGAGGAATGGAGAAAAATGACAGTGTTAAAAAGGAGATCACATCCTCCAAAGTTTAGCCAATCTGTCAAGAAAAGCTGTCCTCCATAGTAGCAGCAGAAGAATGAAAGAAGCAAGAAATGCAATCTCCATATGACTTTGTTTTGATCCTAAAGACCCTTCCTCTTCCTCTCTTCTGCTTTCAGCAGCTCCTGTGAAGAAAATTCACACCAGCTGTCTAGGGGATGGGGACTGGTCTGCACCCAAAAGGAAGTGAGGCTTCAGATCATAAACTGCAACATGGACAAAAATAAAACCTTACAATTGACCCAATCAGCCCCACTCCTCAAGCAAAAAAAATAGTTTCCTTCAAAAGTTTTCACACAGGAAAAACTTCTCTGCACTGCAATAGGAAGGTAGCTGGCTTAAAAAAAAGGAGTTGATTCCATGCAGTGTATTTCTTGCCTAGGTATATCCTGTATCTTGTTAAATAAATGTTCATATATAAAGCAGCTTAACTCAGTTTTAAGTTGTATTTGCTTTCCTGTCCCTGTTAAGTGGTAAATGATCATGGTCTGCAGGGGAAGCACAGAAGCGTCATTATTGTTGAGGTTTAATAATGCATGTTATACATCACAGAAACTTGTATTTCCCCAAAATGCAGGAACATGAGTCTATATTTGATTAGCATAAAAAGAACCTTACCAGAAAGTGAGTAATCTGTATTAGTCATCCTCATGGCTGGAGTATAAGATACACTTGGCATGTCATGGCCCTTCTCCTTCTGTTTCCGTCGATACCACACAAACAGTGCCAGCAAGACCATAATAATTAGAAGGAGAATAATAATTCCAATGATTGCTCCCACTGAGTGTCTCTCTGATCCAAGAGCAGGGCTAATTTTAGTATAGGGGTTTAATTCTTCCATCATAAGAGCCGCTGTTAAAAGTAATTCATAACACACTGTAAATTGAATCGTGCATTTCATTTTTTGACATACTAGTTTTTTAAAGCAAAGAGATAATTGGAGGGGATAAGAGAGGGAGAAAGAGAGAGAAAGAAAAAGACAGAGAAAAAAAGAGAGAGAGCGGGAGAGAGAAGGAGAGAGAGATTTTACAGGCAGAATTCCACTGTACCTTGATCACATCGGATTCCTTTGAAGCCCGGACTGCAGTAGCAAGTGCCTGTGACATGGTCACATGTAGCATTATTCATGCATTCACAGAGTTGTTTGCAACCATAACCAAATGTTCCTGGTGAGCACTCTGGGAAGCCAAAGAAAAAGATTGGAAAGAATTATGCTTTTTTGGGGGATGGGTGAAAGAAATGCTTGCCATGGAAAATTCAGTATAAAAGCTTCCCCAGTTTTTGTATCTCTAGGATAACACCCCAAGGTTAGATTATTTTAAAGCAGGAGATTGATGTATTTCTTGTACAATTTGAGGTATTACTTGTTAAGCTGTAACTTTCTGGAAAAGTCCTATAAGACTGGACATGGATGAATCCAGTAACACGTATAGACACTTTATAAGTCTTGCTGTGTGTTACAAGCACACAGAATTTAACAGGCCATGAGCTCAGAAGCTGGAAGGAACACATTCAAAGAGCACAGCACTCTCCCCAACTCTGCTTTGTTTTTTTTTCAGGGGGGAGAGTTGCAAAGAAAAGTCTAATGTACCTTTATATGAACACAATAGACTTTTACCAAACAAATCCTGCATGCTTTCATATTTTTCCCTACTAGTGCTCCAAGATGAATATAACATTGTTGGTGGAATTAAGAGAACTGAGCATCTGAATGGTCTGATTTACTCTGCTTCTCTGTTAGCATTCCTAATACAGTAGGAATTTCTACCCTTTTTCTTTCCATGAAAGCTAAAATGATTGAATGTCCAGCTGAGAAATTTATTCATACAATTACCTTGATGGGCTTTTAAATCTGTAGGCAGCTTACTGTACTTCTTGAGGCACTATTTAATCATAAATTGAAAGAAACTTCTGTCAAAGCCTTCTTATTTCTATAGAGGAGATGCACTGCTGAACGCACGTGCACTTACTCTGATTCTTTAGAATATATATTAAGATGTGTCTTCTTGTATGTTGCAGCAACTGTTTTGCATAGCATGACCACACATTCCCAGTGTCAGTCCAGATACTTCTAGTAGCCAAAATTTAGTATGAAGTAATGAACAGTAGCCAGTATCAATATAATAATTTGCAGTGAGTATTAACATTGTACTGCTTTCTTTCTTCTGTAGGTCCCAAAACAAGGAAAAATGAATGTTCATTCTGATACCTAAATTGAATAAGGCCTTAATTTTTGGACTGCACCACAGAAACAATGTCTGCCTGTAAGCATTTCAGCTGCAGTGTGGATCCAGCAGGATGCTGAGACGGAAGGAGTCTTCCTGAAAAGATACTTCTAGGTTCAATAGTAGAAAAAAAACCCCAAAACATCAAATGTGCATAGTCTGGGTAGAAAAGAAAGCCTCAGGCTGTGCCCAGAGGTCAAATTATAAAAGTAGCTTCTTGTATAAAATCTGTGATGATGCAGTTCTACTAAGGAACTTCTCTGTTTTATTGATGGTTGCAGCAAGGGCACACACAAACTCATAGCAAGTTGGCCACTTCCAGAGTTCCAGTAGTGCTATATCTAACCCCCACATGAGCATGCAAATTTAGTCCTGAGATACAGACCTTGCTGAACGCAAAAAAAATGTGTAAAAATACAAATGGTCATGAATATAGTTATATGTACAAATGATTTCATGAAGATCCACCTATTAAGCTAGAGTTATGAGGTTTTAAGGCCTTTCACTTGCAAGTCTAGC